ATGGACACAGCAATACGATACCTTTAACACACAATGTTTTGAAGCTTCGATAGAATGTGATGCTTCCGCAATGAGTATAAGCGTGCTTGAATTTTTACTCGCGGGTAATTATTCAGATTTTAAAAATTGGAAGTACCTAGTAATAATGTATAAAAACACGTTCAAAGAATTAAAAAAAACGAGAATTTAACTATTAACAAATCACGTCTTTATAGAAAAATTAAAATACAATTTTATTATATCTTATTGAATACATTAATGAACATGAATAAACCCAATGGTACGCCTATTAAAATGTAAACAAACACGCTTTTTCATTTCCTCATCCTAAATTTTATGTACTTACAAATTAAATGAAAGACCGGGATGTAAATATTTCGTTTATATAATTTCACTTTTCACAAATATCACTCAAAATACAGCCAAAATTATCTAAAAACAATTTTTCCTTATTTCCTCAATCGTTGTAAACAAACATGGAATAGCATTTGAAGTTTGACGTAGAACCGTAAAACAGAGAAATGTAAACAACCGTTGCCATTTATAAATAGTTTTCAGTGCTTCTAAATATAAAATAATTTATTGATATCTATTATACGCTATTATTAAATGATAATGCACACTATGTGCACACTTGATATTTTGATTACAATTAGATATATTAATATAACAAATAAATTATTATTTTGGTTTGATAGCACCTGTAGAGTATAAAATACGGAGTAATATTTTCAGCGACTCGCGAATAAGAATTTTTAATAAAAAAACGTGACAACAGTTGGAGGTGCTGAGAATGTGACATATTCAAATAATTTTGACTTCACAATTTTATGTAAATAACTCAGTCCATCTGTGTTTATACGTCCATGGAAATATCACTTTATTACAGTAAGGAAATGACATTTCCTTACAGTAAGGAAGTCCAGACTTTTTCTTCAAGAAATTTTGACAGGAATGTCAAAATTTCCTGGCGATTTGCGGAAAACATATTTTCCGCAAATGGGGACTATCAAAAAATGGGGACTATTGAGAGAGATTGGATTTCGTTGGCAACAGAATAGAAGAAAATCCGTTTTAATTGAAAAAGATTACATTGTATGTTGGAGACGAGATTATCTAAAAACTATTAAAACGTACCGAGAAGATGGGAAAACAATTTTTTATTTGGACGAGACTTGGCTAAATGAAGGTCATACTGAACCATACCTATGGGTTGATACAAATGTGGAAAGTTCCCGTCAGGCATTCATTGAAGGTGTATCTACTGGAATAAACAATATTCCCGTTGGAAAAGGACGCAGACTCATAATAACCCATATTGGAAACGAATACGGTTTTGTCAATGGTGGATTATTAAGTTTTGCCTCAAAATCAACCAAAGATTACCACGAGGAAATGCTGACGTTTTTGAAGAATATTTTGAGCAAATGTTGGATTTAATTCCAAAATTCCAATACTAGTTATAGACTAGCAGAAAAATTGCCAACAACGGCATGGAAAAAAGGAAAGTTAATCGAATAGTTAGATAAACACGCAATTGAGTACAAGGAGAATTCGACAAAAAAGGTATTATTACTTATTGTAAAGCAACATAAAGCAGCTTATAAGAAATATATAATTGATGACATAGCATTAAACCGTGATGTAATTATTTTACGTTTACCCCCATACCACTGTAATCTGAATCCGGTAGAAAATTTATGGTCTCAAGTAAAGGATGAAGTCGGACGCAACCAGAAAACTTTTAAATAAGAAGACTTACAACAATTATTAGAACATTCCTTATCAAAAGTAACTCCAGAAAATTGGAAAAATGCTGTTAGTCATGCTCACAAGGAAGAAAATAAAATGTGTAATTTAGATAATATGACTGATGCAATGCTGGAACCGGTAATAATTAACATTGGAGTTGAAGATTCCTTAGATTCTAAAGAAAGCAGTGAATCTGAAATGGAATTTGATTAAAATAATATTCATTTTTTTACAAATCGGCCCCTGGTACGACCACAAATTATTTTATATATAACCAATAAAATAAACATCTTACATTTCTTGCAAATTCATTAGTACCGGTTAATCTCCATCACTCCGACACTGGCAACTTTATTTAGGGATTAGTAACCCTTAAAACTATTGTATGCTATTCTGCTTCAACTATACCTGGTGGTCATACTCAATTTAAAATTGTTTTCCTATATACTTATGTAAACTTGTTGACAAATATCTATTTTTCGTTGAGTCACCCGTATCAACAGTTTAGGGATTTTCATACATAATGTGCTATCAATATGATGGAAATGGAGTATAGGTACATGTAGTTGGGACCATTCATTAGCATATAATTATCCTCACTCTTTAATATTTTGGTATTGTATTGGTATTTGATATTTTGGAAAATACGCTTGACAGTTAATTGCTATTTTAAAAATCCATTTTGTTAAACTTATCAATATTCAGAACTTAATAATTCTCTTGTACAATAAAAAATAGTTTGTTTATTGATGTAAAATGGATTCCGAAGGTATTATTGTTTTTGTCCCATCAAATATCTTACTGATTATTTTTCAAATGTTGGCTATAGATTCAATTTTATTATTTTTTTTTTATTGAGTTAATGCCTCGACAACTATGATCATTGGCATGGTACAGTCAGGTACCTAGTGTAGTGTGTGTGTGTGTGTGTGTGTGTGTGTGTGTGTGTGTGTGTGTGTGTGTGTGTGTCTGATCGCACAAGGATAGAAATTATTTTCATTCATTAATTTTTAATAAACGAAAATTTCTTCACCCAGATGAGATTCGAACTCACGACCTTTAGGTTTAAAGGTAGGCGCTCTTACCACTGAGTCACAGAGGGGGTTGCCTCGAAATTAATGTGTGCATTAAGTGGTTAATGATATTAAATTTTTAATTGAAATATGTACAAATCTACAAATAATATAATTAAAACTCTCGTCTTATAAACAATAAATAAAATTAATTAAAAGTCAATCACCGGGAGAGAAAATTTAAAAATTGTTAGGAGTTTCGATTAAAAAATAATTTTTTATAATTTGAAAATTCGAAATTGTAAAGCTTAATTTCGGATTTTTAAATTAAAAAATAATTAAGTCAGTCTCAAATAACGCCTCACGAGAGCTCAACAAAGAAAGATAGGAAAAAGGTAAAAATGGCTGCTGGAATAGACTATAGCAAATCCTAAGAAATCCAAATCAGCAACACCCGATGATAAAAAGAGACATCGGGAGAATACCATCACCACCCTCTGTGGCTAAGACACCAAGGTGCTCTAACGAGCAGACTAGGTCATAAAGCACCCTGACAGAAGTATTCAGAATGGTGGTAGCACACAGACACCATCCTGATACTCATCTATATCGGGCTCAAGCAAATTTGATCATTAACAAACTGGAGCAAGCGCTTTATGAGGCTCCTATCTGAGATCAAAATGAACTGACTGCAGTTCCTTTAAACAACGTTTAGCACAGGGACCGTATGGGTGAACTGTGTTAACGAGTATACAAAAAATGGATGACTAAAGTAATAAAGAATACTGAGGAAAGACTTGAAGAAACTATCAGGACCCGTCTAAAGAGGCAAAATCAAGACCTTAACACAGTTCTGTTCTGCAGAGTCTGTTCCACAGACTGAACGACAGTAAAGATAAAAGTTATAGAGGGGGAATTACGAAGGAGATAGTTCTTAGATGAGCATACCTCCCATAGGATGATCCCGAACAACCATTAAGGGAGTTGGAACAGTTAGTGAGAGATTGCATGAAAAATGAACTGCAATTAATTATTGGCTATGATATGAATACCTACCATCTGACCTGGGGTAGTACAAATACCAAACTATTAAAAAATGGCTTAAGATGAGGTGTCTTGTTCAGACCATCGAGACAGGCAATGAGCATATCAAGGAAACTTATCGTAATCCTCGTAAAACAAATTGGGAAGCATATTAAGGAGAACTGGAATATTGTTTAAGTAAGATTAAAGGGACGATAAGGCATACATTGAGTGTAAACACGGTCACCGAACAATTTCTTTGTCATGTCAGTGCTTAAAGATAACTCTCCGGATATAATGAGGAATCTAACGGGAAAGTCCCCTGGTGGAATGACAATCTTGCAAATTAAAGGACAGTAGTCAGACGAAAATTTAATTGCTCCAACAGATGTGGTGAGTGGGGCGATCATTACAATGCATGGACTGAATAAACAACAGCTTAGAAGGGCAAAAATGAAATCATGGAGGGCATTGCTAGGACATCGAACAAATTGCAGAAATGTCAAGGTTTCATAAAGTTTTCTCAAAAGACCCTTAGATAAATATTCCCTTGCTCCAAAATAAATCAGGTGAATACACTCTAAATTGTAAAGAGACTCTGAAATATGTTTTCAGAGTGCACTTTTCCAAGTTTCAAACAAAACTGATACCACTAGACACGTGACAGCAACTGGAATGGATACCATAGCTTGTGGTTCTAGAAAAAACTGGCGTGATGCAAAACAAGTGGTGTACTACGACAAAATCAAGTGGGCAATAAACTAGTTTGTACCGTATAAATTACCAGTTTCAGAGGGGATTTAAGCAATTTGTTACAGAAGGAAAATGACCTTCTCTACTGCAAGCTAGCCTACGACTAGAAAACATACAAAAAGTATGGATGCTAATAAGGGTGGCTTTTATACCTAAATCTGGCAAAATAAGACATGAGAAATTATATATATATATATATATATATATATATATATATATATATATATATATATATATATATATATATATATGCTCGAGCCATCGTCAGAGAACGACGTCTCTTATTGTATAGTCAGCTATCTGGCGACTCGGTTCATTCTCGAAAACTTTGTTTTATCTATCTTGGATGGATAAAAGTTCATAACATGAAATCTAAACTAATTATTTGGAAATAATTCCGCCAAATGGTTGGGCTATCGGATTGAAACTCTACTAAATATAATTATCAAAAACAAAGTTGTAAAAAATATATTTATTTCAAATAAAATTGTCATAATTTATGTACAGTTTTTATAATCTTATTTAGTTCGCTTATATTCTGAATATAATACGTAGGTTTGTACTCTTCTGGGTGCTTCCACTCTTTAATATCATCCATTTTTGTAGTACCACTAAGAACGAGAAGTTTTTGGTATCCACCTACCGTACCAAATCCCATATCCTCGTTGATCCTAGTAAAATAAACCAAATTATGTGGATCAATAAATTAAGAATATTTCTAAAATATTGATAATATGAAACCAGATTACTGTATCGAATATTGTTTCTACCATTTTCCGTTGTCTATCTAGGATGTAGTTCAGGCGTGATCTGTCGAAAAGCAGACCATAACTGATATTTTCCATAGGAGTCTATTTTTTGCTGGAATAACTTTAGGATGTACCTTGTATTAATCATCACGATATGCGTCAGTCAAAAACCTTGTACTTAATTTTGTATTAACAAAGTCCAAAAACAAAGCGAAAATTTTGCATTGTGTACACATATTTTTGCCTATAACTACAGAGATATTGCTCCTACCAAACAAAATTGTAGACGGTAAAAGTTTAATTTTTTATTTTACATAATATTGACTAGTAAAAATTTTAAATTTATTGTTTAAAAACTAGCAATAATTCCGCCACAAACTGCAAAAATGGAAATCCAGCGTCCGTAAAAATTGCTAATTTGCAAAATTATGCTTGACCCAAAATGAGCCTTTAAATAGTCGAAAATTTTGCAATGCAATTTTTTGCGGATCTTGGATTTCAAAAACTACTAAATTCGTCCTAACTAAATTTAACACACGCTTTTGTCATATTACAAACTTTTTCTAAATAAAAAATTTACCTTCCATAATTTTATTTTGTAAGAGCTCTGCCTCTCAATTTATAGGCAAAAATATGGGTGCTAGAAGCAATAATTTTAGTTTTTTCCAAATTCCAGCAAAAAAATGGACTCCTGGAAATTATCCAATTCAAAACAGATTCCGCCTGGACTATTCATACAGCCTTGTTTACATTATATATGTTCGGATAAATATCCGCGGTCAGGTAAATGAAAATTACTAAGTTCTCGGTAAGAACCACGTTGACATCCACTCTTTCAATATCTATCCATTATTATGGGACACTTTCGATCGTCTTTCTCACCAAAAATCCAAACACATTTCTAACACGAAAAACCAAACCCAGAAATGCAAACTGGACCAACTTTTCTCTCAACAAAATCCACTGCCCATTTCGAATCAACAACCTTTTACTGTTGTTCACAAGTTCTCAGATATTCACATTAACGATTCAGCTACCAAAGCTCTGTCAAAAAGCTTTAATTTTTTACTCCTCTTTTCATCCTAACTGAGAAAATTATTTGTCAAATTTAAGAAGCTATTTCTCATCTTCCTTCCGACGAAGCCCAAGTTGCCAGATAAGATGTCGCCAGAATTCTCCGTACTTCCAAACTCCCACTATCAAATATCAGTTTTTCAGAAAGACGCACCCTCAAAGAACTTTAGAACAATCCTGACATTGTCATCCTTCCGGGAGAAAAAGGTAATGCCACCGTCATTTTCAACTCTTCTTATTATTTCGACAAAATGTTCGAACTTCTCAATTCCACAAAATACAAACGCGTCGCAAACGATCCCACTACCTATCTAGAAAAAACACCAAATCCATCATAAATATGTCTACTCTACCTCCAGATATCAAAAAATCTCTTATACCCAGAGAAAAATCATCACGAATTCCAAAGATATACGGCCTTCCAAAAATTCATAAGTCCAATATTCTCCAAAAACCCGTCGTCAGTGCATACAACTGCCCCACTCATCTGGAAACTGGCAAATCATCTCGCTTTATCCTCACAACCATTAGACGAAAACGCTTAGCAATTTGTTAAAAAGTCTTTTCATTTCATTGGTCTTCTGAAAAACATTTCTATTTCACCGTTAGATATACTAGTTATTTTTCACATTGTTTCTTTATTTACCAACATTTCTATTGATGAAACCATTTCTATTTTGGACCCTTAAGATCAAATCTCCCAAGACACATTATCTCTTTTAAGACACTCCATGTTTAATACATACTTTTTATTCTAAAATCATTTCTATCGTCAAGTCAAAAATGCCCCAATGAGATACCCCTCTCTTCCGTTATAGTTGATATCTCCATGGAAGATTTCGAAACAGCAGCCCTGTCCGCGTGAAATCTCAAACCCACCTGCTGGTTACGGTATGTTGATGACATCTTTGTGTTGAGAATGTAATACATTTATATTGTATACACAGATATATTGGTGTAAGAGTAAGCGGAACGCACCCATAGTGTCATGGGTTGACATGACAGACAATAATAGTAATGTCAATGAGTATCATGTAGTTGTAGGTGGTAGTAAGAAGTATGGTGGCTTAAGTTAGGTTAGTTAATTAGTATGTATGTTATAGGAAATAAAGCCTTTTATAATAGTAGTAAAGTACGACTATTTATTTTCCAAATCCACACCTTAACATGGTAGCAGAGGTCCGTGGTTGGAAAGTCGTACCTTTTACAACAGAAAAAGTTTGGTGCAGTTTGAGAAAAAAAAGTGTGACACATGATGGCAGGTAGTAGTGATTTTAGAATACCTATATTCGATGGGGAGAATTATAAAATGTGGAAAAAACGTCTTATGCTATTTTTGAAAATGAAGAAGTGTGATGTTGTGGTAACCAGACCGAAAAATGAAAATGATGATACAAATTGGGATGACGATGATGTAAAAGCAATGAATTATATATGCGGTGCAATATCGGATCGACAGATGGAGTACATCGACGAAAAAACTACGGCGTATGAGATGATAAAGAAATTTGATAATTTATATTTGAAAGAATCAACGGCATTGCAGATAGTATGTAGAAATAACTTGGAAAGATTAAAATTGAACAACTATGGAGACTGTGCAACATTTTTTAGTGACTTCGAAAAAGCTATAAACGAGTTAAAAAGCGCGGGTGCTAGTGTGTCTGAAAAGGAAAAATTGAACTATATGTTAAACACGTTGCCAGAGTCGTACAGTTATATTGGTGATTTAATAGATACATTAAAAGAAGATGATCAAACTGCAGACTACGTAAAAACTAAGGTTATGATGTCCGAATTAAAAAATCAAAACAATGATTTTGGAAGAAAATCCAGTACATTTGTGGTAAATAAAGGTCGACAGGATCGATCATGCTTCCAGTGTGGCGAAGTTGGTCATTTCAAGCGAGATTGCAAAAATGGCGCCAATCAAGCGTCGGGTAATGGCGGACAAACGACAAGCAGTAGAGGCTGGTGGAGAGAAACGCGAGGTCGACAAGAAGCCGGAAGAGGAAGCTACGTCAGAGGACGTGGCCACTCACGTGGACAGCGCGGAACGCATGGAACAAGTGCACAGCGGTTCAACCGACAAGGACAGAAGAACGAAGAGCGAAACAGTGCTTCTTGGCTTACAACAGTAGCTCTTGGTAAGGATATGTCAGTTATTGCACAAAATACTGAAATAGGTAATGTAAATAATTGTATTGAAATAAAATGGCTTTTAGATAGTGGTTGTACAGACCACATTATTAATGATGAAAAATTATTTGATAAATGTAAATTACTTAAAGATCCCATTAATGTTTATTTAGGAGATAATAGGGTTGTAAAAGCTACTAAAATTGGAAATGTTTTAAGTTACTTTGATGCTTTTGGTAAAAAGAGTTTAGTAGATATGCAAAATGTTTTCTATGTTAAAGATATGAAATCAAATTTGATAAGTTATAGCAAAATAACAGAAAATAATAAGATTATTTCTCTAGGTAATATTTCAAAAGTTTTTGATAAACTTGGTAATATAACAGCAGTTGCTTTAAAAAATAATGGCTTATATATTATGAAAAGTAAATTAAAATCAGTTGAATTGCATGTAAATGTTGCAAATAAAGATATGAATAATATGAATCAAAAGGAAAAATGGCATCGTTTATTAGGTCATGTAAATTTTAAATATTTGAATATTTTATCTAAAGATCAGCTGTTGAATGGAATTCCTAATGAGTTTGAATCTGAATTTATGAAATGTAAGATTTGTATTGAAAGTAAAATGCATAATATTCCGTTTGTAAACAGTAGAAAAAAAGCTAAAGATATTTTAGAGATTGTACATACTGATGTTTGTGGGCCTTTTCGAACTACTGGGTTTAAAGGTGAAAATTATTTTGTTTCTTTCATTGATGATTATAGTAAGATTTCTAAAGTATATGCTATAAAATCAAAAGCAGAAGTATGTGATTGTTTGAATGAAAGTACAAATGAAAGTATGGATGATAGTGTGAATAAAAATGAACCTGAGTTACCTAGATCTCACAGAGCCAAAAATCCTCCAAAGAAATTTGATGACTACTATGTATATAATAGTAGTATTTTTGTAAATATGTGTAGAACTGATATACCACATACATTTGAGGAGGCGATAAATTCTAATGAAAGTAAGTATTGGAAAACAGCTATGGACAAAGAAATTGATAGTTTAAATAAAAGTAAAACTTGGAAATTGGTTAAAAATGATACAAACAAAAATATTCTGGATGTTAAATGGGTTTATACTAAAAAGTCTGATAATACTTATAAAGCTAGATTGGTTGTACGAGGTTTTCAACAAACTGATGAAATTGATGATATTTATTTACCTGTGGCTAAAATGCAAACATTAAAGATTTTATTGTCATATTGTTGTCAAATGGGCCTAGTAATTGAACAAATGGATGTTGAAACAGCCTTTTTAAATGGTAAAGTAATTTCTGAAGTTTATATTAAACAACCTAAGGGTTATGAAGATGGAACAAGTAAAGTTTGTAAATTAGTTAAAGCTTTATATGGTTTAAAAGAAAGTCCAAGGGCATGGTATGAGTGCCTAGATACATTTTTGATAAATTTAGGTTTTGAAAGAAGTAATATTGATCCTTGTTTGTACGTTTATAAAATTGGAAATGATATTATTTACTTATTAATTTATGTCGATGATTTATTGATTTGTGGTAGAAATTTAAATGAAATTAAAAGGATTAAAATTTTATTATCAGAAAAATTTAAAATGAAAGATATTGGTGAAATTAAAGAATATCTTGGTATTACTGTTGATTATGATTCTAGTAAACATGAAATGAGATTGGATCAAAATAAATATATTGAATTATTAAGAAAAAATATAATTTAGAAAAAGGTAAACTGTATAATACACCTATGGAAGTAAATTTAAAAATTGATAAATCTGATCATTGTGAAAGAAATATTAAATATAAAAATTTAATTGGTGCACTATTATACATAAGTTCGGCAACAAGGCCTGATATAAGTTTCAGCGTAAATTATCTGAGTAGATTTCAAAATTGCTATAATGAAACGCACTTTAAATATGCTGTACGAATTTTGAAATATTTATGCTTAACTAAAGATTTAAAATTGTTTTATAACAGAAATGAAAAAGTAAGTATTATTGATTGTTATGTGGATGCCGATTGGGCAGGTGATCATTTAGATAGAAAGTCTACAACTGGTTTTGTAATAAGATTGTTTGGTAATGTAATTTATTGGAAATCTAGAAAACAAAAAAGCGTTACAAAAGCTTCAACTTTTGCAGAGTATGTAGCATTGTCAGAAGCAGTAAGTGAATTGATATTTGTAAAAGAATTGTTGAAAATATTTGATATTGAAATAATAAAGCCAATTGATGTTTATGAAGATAACACTGGTACAATTAGTATAGCTAATTATGGCAATTTTACAAAAAATTCTAAGCATGTTGAAATTCATTATCATTATGTAAATGATTATGTTAAAGCAAATGTTATAAATGTGGTTAAAGTAGATTCTGATGATAATATTGCAGATATTTTTACGAAGTCCTTGGCCAAGATAAATTTGAAAAATTTCGAAGTATGTTAAATTTGAATTAATGTAAATACAATGTAAATGTAAGGAGGCGTGTTGAGAATGTAATACATTTATATTGTATACACAGATATATTGGTGTAAGAGTAAGCGGAACGCACCCATAGTGTCATGGGTTGACATGACAGACAATAATAGTAATGTCAATGAGTATCATGTAGTTGTAGGTGGTAGTAAGAAGTATGGTGGCTTAAGTTAGGTTAGTTAATTAGTATGTATGTTATAGGAAATAAAGCCTTTTATAATAGTAGTAAAGTACGACTATTTATTTTCCAAATCCACACCTTAACACTTTGTCATTTGGCCCCATGGTAAAGACACATAAGATCTCTTCCTCTCTAACCTAAATGGAATACATCCCAGAATTCAATTCACGATGGAAGTTAAGCCTGAAACGTCTTTGGCATATCTGGATGTTCTTATTAAGAAAAATACACCTCACAGGTTTTTCTATTCCGTGTACCGGAAACGCAATCATACAAACCGTTATCTCAATGTCCAGTCACATGATCACCCCGCCCAACTCAATTCAGTTATCAATACTCTTCCTGTTCCATAAGACTTATTCTTTGTTTCAAGTTAAGAAAATAACATTACGCTTATGGAGATCAGTGTTGCCAAAACTCTCAGACACTCTCTTTTGCACGGATGTCCAAGATATTCCCTTTGCTTAATTTTTTAATTTTCATTTACAATTAACATTTAACTGTAAAATCAGATTAATTACTAAATAAAAGCCATATTATCATTATTTAGTCAGAGAACGACATAAAATAGCTGACATACGCACATCGTATTATTGTAAGTTGCAATTAGTAATTAGATATACGCATTCCAAGCGGTCAATATTTTCTACTGATTTCTATGATTCATGGCATATCGTATTCTCACCGAAAAACAAATTAACTGTTGTTACTATAATTAAAATAAGATAAAATACAATTATCTTTTGTAAATATTATTTATCTAATTAAAATCATTTTCTCTACTTTGCATCTCTTGTTTCGAATGGGCACTTTTGGTCAATTACGTTAAAAAACATTAATTTAATTCATATTTGTGGAAACGAAAATACAAATTATACAACCCTAAATTGTGCTTGTGTGTGTCGTGGCAACGCCGCGTTTCTATCGTCCATAAGAAATACATGGCCCTATCTCCGCAATGTTATTTTCTAAACGTGGAACGTAGTATAGCGACAACAATCACAGGTTATCCGAAATCAATTCAATAAGGCAAACATTATTACACAACGGCTACCACAAAACCCAAATCAATAAGAGCATTCAAAAAACATCTAATCCCCATTCCGCGAAAAAAAGAATCCTTGCCTCCGGATCAACCCGAAATCATTCTATCTTTTATTAAAGGTGTTAGTGACAAAATCAGTAGAACTCTTATTCCTCTAAATATGAAAACCATCTTCACTACTCACTCCAAGTTGTCCAATGTCGTCAAAGCCAAAAAAGACCCAATGAAGATCATGATGTCTACGAGAAACCATGTTCCAATTGCCCACGTACATACATAGGACAGACAAACCGACGAATCCATAACCGTATTTACGAACATTTTATATCAGTCAACGAACAGTTACGAGCATTTTGATACTACTTCAGCCCTAGCCCAACATCATATTCAGACAGGCCACAAAATAGATTTTGAAAAAGCAAAAACCATCGCTTCCATCTGCTCTTTAAAATCAAGAATCATTCGTGAGGCCATCGAGATTGAAAAACGGCCTAACAGCTTAAACTCTCTTAAATGACGCTAAACGATTACCGGCAACATGGCGACCCCTGCTTCAGCGACCCCCGCCCCAATCCACTACGCTAAGACTACGTCAGCACAGACCACGTCAGCCGTACCATTCCCGCGCATAGTGAGAGTATAAAAGCAGCCACACAGGGTATGACCGCAAAAAAATTTTTTCTGAAGAGGACCGTTAACCAACTACCCTTTCGCCTCTGATTGTCCAGGACGCTCTTCCGCCGACAAGTCTACGAAACCAACCACCAGTAGAACCGACACAGCTAGAAAAAGAAAACCATTAATCAAACAAACAAGCCACGTGAAAAACCTATAGCATGACACGAAAACACGAAACAAGGAAAATCCAACCCACAGCAAATAACACCGAGACAATGCGACGTATGACCGGTCGTCACTTGACATTGAGGAATAGACAGATTGAGACCTCATTGCCGTTTGACGGTTCTTGTATTTATACAGAACTTCAAAAAAAATTCTATTGTACCGTCCATTTTTAAAAAGATTTTACATGAACCTAAAATCATTACTCGGTGTGTCACTACGCATTATACAAATAATTCTTAAAAGCAAATAAATTTCAAAATTATTTATAAAATACGTATATAAAATATACCTACACATCTCCAATAAAAAGTGTTCGTTTTGGATCAGTTACATTTAATTTTTCGACTACGTATTCATTGTAATGATGTGATGGTTTTGCCAATTGCATTGGTTGTCTTCCACTTATCTCGCATAAAGACATGTAAAAAAATTTATTACCTAAAAAAGAAAGGAAAAATCAGTTATTTTTATTTTAATTGCCTTAATCTCAGTAAAAATGTAAAACAAACCGATATGGAATTTTACTTAACTCAACTTTTTTATTTTGTTCTTTATATTCTACTTTAAGGTCAATTGTCCTTTATATTGTACTACAAGACAAAAAAATGTTGTCATAGAGCAAGTAATTTTTTCTCCCTCTACATTTAAATCTAAAATTCTATCTTACAGGAAGAACACAGATTGTTGCATTTAATGATCCAGAATCTGATCCTTTACCAGTTTCAACCGCAGGTACCACCAGGATCAGTTTTGGGCCCTCTGCTATTCTTAATATATATATATATATATATATATAATATATATATATATATATAAATTATATATATATATATATATATATATATATATATATATTTACGGCATAAAGTGAACTCCGCCCATGTTAAAATTCAGGTTCAAGTGAGCTCCGTGGTCAAGTGGACACCGATATACGGAGCTCACATGACCATTCCATAATATTGGCTCTGTCGATTCGTTAAGATGTATAGTTTCATAATTCTTAATAAAATTTTGGAGCTCATAAGTACCCCTGTATCATAAATGTATTTCGCTTAGTTCACGTGTATATATTATAGGGGTCGTTCAGATCTTTTTCACTGTATATTGGAACCATAGGAATATCGGTTTAAGTAAGCTCTGATAGTTTGGCAACTATGCACTTAGGCCAGCGTTCTTGATATATATATTTTATATATTTTAAACGGTTCATACGGACTCCTTTTCATACGCATTACAATATGTAATCTTCTTCTTCTTCTTGATGTGCCTATCCGTTATGAATGTTGGCGATCATATTGACAATATGTAATAGATATGTATAATACCAAATACCTGTTTTTGGTAGGTACCTGCTATTCTAAAAATAGCTTTATAAATACAAAAGGATTTCATTACCAAGTTGGACGTGTTTTTTCATCTGCGAATATTTCCTAATGTATTTTGTTAACATGTATATGTCTTTATAAGTTTTATTTAAGAATACGATTAATAAGATCTTTTAGTTAATCCATTGTTTTACGATATCTTGTATCCAGCTTCTTTATTATTTTATTTCTGGTTTTATCTGTGTAATACATATAATTCTGGATAGGTTATCTTAAAATAAATATTTAAGTGCAAAAATAGATATTTGTATGTAAAAATTGGTAGTAGTGCACAAAAGAGGAAATAATGCTTAATTTATATAAGAAAAATGTACCAGTTCACCAATATTACATACTTCTAAATGTTTTATCTGCTATTTAGGGGTAATATGTAATCAATAAACGTGGAGTTAGTGTCAAATTTGCAATAATCTTTGGTCAGTTTTTTCTCGATTTTAGTCATAAATTGAGCTGGTATTCGTTGAGTGGATGTTGCGATTCTAGACTTTGTATCTTTTATTCTCTAGCAGTCTAGCTACTTATCTTGGATATTAGGTGAATTGATAGCTACGATATTGTAGAGCTGTGTGATATACGTATGTATGGATGTGTGTGTGTGTGTGTGTGTGTGTGTGTGTGTGTGTGTGTGTGTGTGTCTTAATATTCGCTGAATTTGGCTGTCTAATTTATAGCTAAATCTTCGTGTTGTGTTGGTGTCATCCATACTTGCAAGGTATATTCGGTAGCAGAAGCATAGAGTGCAAGCGTCTACGTTTTAAGGATGAAAGGATGCTTCTCATTTTTAGCTGACAAGTTTGCAGAGATTATTTTTCTGGTCCTCAGTTTGCCTTTTAGTTTTAAACAATGTTCTATGAATGACAAAGTGTGATACAAACTATCTTCAAGGTATTTATAGCAAGTCCAGAGTTTAAAAATTTCATGACACTATTGGATGTTTAGATTTTTAAAAGCATCTCTGTTAGGGACATTAAAGCAGGACATCTGACTTTTTCTGAGGTTTGGCTTAAAATTGATTCATAGTCTATTTTTATTGTGTTTAAAGTATGATTTAGATTTTTCTATACTTCAGCAACAAAAGTTTTTGGTTGTGCAACAATATCGATGTATCGTCTACATAATAAAAGTCCTAGTATTTACTGGTATGGGTTGTGTAAATATTATACAGTGTAGGTACCATTACGCTACCCCAAAGGAGACCGTTCTTCTGCGTTTTCCATCTGTTATTTTTACCATTGAATGATACGAAAAATCTTCTGTTGTGTAGGCATACCCGGACAATACAAGCCATTGTTGTATTTTTGATCCAAATTTTAGAATTATTTTTGTGCTCAGATCTTTAGTCAGAAGCCGTAATATTGTTCATTATATACGTAGATAGCAGATCCAAGCTCAACACCGTTGAAAGATTCCCTTAGCGTTGAAAGATTTCCTGCACTAGAAATACGTCACATTTGTGTTAACCGTATATGTCTGATAAAGTTAAGTAAAATAAAGTACCTATCTTTATCTCTGGATATTCCCTTCTCTAATGTTTATAGAAATAATTAGGATAGTTGGCATTAAAAAGGCCGATTTGGCCGATCTTTAAACCCTATAAAATATGGCTAATCTTTTACTTTTCATTAAAAATTTTAATTTTACATACTGTTACTTTTAGACAATATTTCGATCAGATTTGTTTAGTAATAAATGTAGTTAATATACAGATTGAACCAAATTAACGGAACATACAATTTAATACATGTCTGTATGAACTGCATTTGAAATAGTGGACCAATATAAAACTTGGACAAAAATAAATCCATACCTGGGTATAGACATTGTATAAAATATCGATCAACTATCTGTCTCGCAACAATGTTGTTTGCGTAAGACGGGTTTGTCTAAGGAAGCGATAATAGTTCAGGAAATGAATCTCAAAAAAAGTTAAAACCTCGTCCTTTTTCGTCCTGCATGTATCCAGTTGAAATTTTAACAGTAGGTAGGTGATAGCCCAAGGATCAAAATCTATATCGAACCGAAGTGCGCTGAAGGGTTTTAGTGGTGAAAAATACCCCTAATTGTCAAAAATTATAAAATAACATAATAAACCTGAATATGGGTAAAATTTGGTTTGAATTAATTAAATAATGATAGTTTCCTGCTTTTGAATAAAGTTCCATCATATTTCAACCCTTAAAAAGCGACCCTTATTAGAGATTAATATAAAAAAAATTAGTAATGCGAAGAAAATGATTTCACCTTGGAACGATTTGCATAAAAATTTGGAATTAAGCTCAACTCACCCTCAGCTTTATAGTTTATGTCATGCCGATGAACCCTGATTGTTCTTAGGAGTGAAAACTACCCCTAATTTTCAAAAATTGTAAAATAATAGTACAAATCTTAAGATAAGTGAAATTTGGTTTGGATTAGTTAAATAGTGATTTTGTTATACTTTAAAATACAAATTCATACATTTTCAACCCTTAAAAATCAATTATTATGAGTGCTATAGGTGAAAACAATTTTTTGCCAAAATTTTGCAATTTTCAACGTTTGAAAATCACCCTTTACAACATTGCAGTTTTTATAAACTAATTTATAAGATATTAATTG